AAATATGTTCCCGTCCCGCCCCCATATCATGTCATGAAATTAACTCCTGACGACTACTGGTACCTCCGCTGTTTCGTGACAGACAGACGGACGTACACACACATACTTAGCGAGTTATATGGTAGGGATTGGCGCTATGTATAAAGGGATAAAATGGTTTCAAGTATATCTGCAGAAGAATTTTTCGAGAGCATGTTCCGGCCCGAGAAGGGCATCCACCTACAACATGTTAATCATCAGGACATGACTCCGCTCCATAACGATGTTGGCCGAAATAATTCAAATGAAGATGTGTATATTCCAACCACAACTACTCCAGCAGTTACATCAAGATCCCATAACCGTTGCGAGGGTCCATTTACTTCTTCATCTGCCTCCACTACGATTCGGCTGATTCAAGCATCACTTTACGTCATGCAACTTGTGCTTGCCTACTGGCTTATGTTGATTGCCATGACCTATAATGCATGGCTAACGGCCGCCGCTACTTTGGGAGCTGGCTTTGGGCGTTGGTCGTTCGCAGTCCTAAAATTCCATAATTTCGCTGGCGAAACGGCTGATTCATTCAATGCTGATGCTTGACATTGAGGACCGTTTCGAGAACCACATAAGAAACAAGGGGAAACAGCCATATCGGTGAATTAACCTGCTGTTGCATAAAGATGACGGAGAGTAGCGAGACAAGCTGATTTCTGTCTATTTCAATATGTGTAGGCTACTAAAAAGCGGACGATCACAAGCAAAATTGCACATTATCAAGGAAGTATCTCAAGCTTCACTTTTCATCATAAATCGAATGGAATGTAAAGGGAGAGTCATATGATGACAAGGTTGGACTTCGATATGCGCGGTTTTCTGCAGAGATCTTGAATCAAGATCAGGGCAAAAATCGTGTCGAGTGAAAGGAAACGTCTTCCCCCCTCTTCCATGACGCTTCCGCTAGGCCCCTTTCCTATCCCACGCATCCGGTTTATTAGCAAAAATGTTACTTTACATGCAGACAGGCAGCGCCGCCGCTACGTTAATGCGTTGCTAAACTATTTCTGTACAGACTAGGGAAGTTGAAAGACCGATGTCATTCTGCAGAATAAAAATGGTTGAAAAACAAATAATGTTCTGTTCGAGAATGTTAAGTGCTGGACAGTCAGCCGGAGTCTGTGTTTTGTTTGTTTGTTTCTAGGTACAAGTCTCGTCGTCAAACTCGGGTTCGGGGAGGGGGAGCACGCGATGGCGTGTAGTCTTCGATGGCGCGTATTTTGAAACTGCCACGTGATGAAAAAGTAACTGCCTCACACGCTGAGCCTGAAGGCACAGACGAACAGAGCGGCGCGCCATCGCGTACGTCTGCAGCTCCCCCTGAACCCGAGCATTACTTATATATAAGGGCGGAAGTGGTGTAGTGGCAAGTGGCACGCTTACCACGCGAGCGGTCCGGGGATCAAATCCTGGGTCGTGAGTCGCCCGGGCCAACCAAGCCTTCCATCCCTCCGGGGTCGGTTAATTGGTACCAGACTTGTCTGGGAGGATAAAAACACTGACTTGTACATCGGCTGGCCCCCGCAAGTCATTGTATAGGCCACATCGCATTCAAACGCCACTACGAATGTACAAATGGAAGTAGAATGCGTGCCGCATCCCAAAAAGGGATTGATCAACGGCAAATGCTTTATCCTTTACCAGTTTAGCTCCGCCCGCTACCGCGCGCATTGATAGAACTGACAATCGATGAAGCTTTAGGTTTCACCGCTAAATTATAGCTGCTTCGTTAAATGTATTACTGTCCGTTGCATAGCTGCCCATCTTGGCTGTATCTCACTGTTTGATAAGCGCAGTGAAGTGCACAGCTAAAGTGATGATGTAAACAACCACTATGTCGAGTATCGAGGTAATTTAGCGGTCGAATATCTCAAAACGGAATGCCTAGTATTCATTATCATATTTATTCGAGCATCCCATTCATCCTCAAGAACTCTAGAAGGTGTAGCGGTCGAAAGGTGTTTGAGTTTACAATTACAACGCTGATGAAATGATATTGAAATGAAAGGCATTATCTACAATCTGCTCTCTATTTCTATTTCAACGCTCTCTATCAGTCCTCATCAGTCGTTATCACTTTTTGACCCCCACCAAATATGTTCCCGTCCCACCCCCTATATCATGCCCCAAAATCAGCTCCTGACCCCCACCAAATATGTTCTCGTCCCACCCCCTATATCATATCAAAAAATCAGCTCCTAACGACTGCTGCGACGCGTGCTATGAATTTCGTGACACACGCACACACACACACAAACAGACAGACATAGCGTTTTATATATAGTAGGGATTAGAAAAGAACCTCAACTAGAAAGGAATGAGGATCAAAAAAGGGAAAGAGATACTGCCCACAGGCAGAAAAACAGTCTTGCGGTTCAGCATAGGGACACTGATAGCTCGCTGCCGCGTCGCGCGGGTCTTTTGGAGCGCCTTAAAAGGGAAAATGGTCAGTACCCTCTTTTTGATGCGTGTATTTAGATTCAGAGGAGGAAAACGAGCGGCATGGGGAGCGTTTAAGAACATCGAGGGAGTAGTGAAGAAGACGAAGAACATCCGGCTCCGTGCCCACCTCTTCGATTCCGCTGTCCTTCCTGCCCTAACCTACGCCTCAGAGACTTGGACTCTGCGCAGGCAGGACGAGCATGCGGTCAGCGTTATCCAACGCGCTGTCGAGAGGACGATGCTAGGAGTAACCCTATACACGCAAGTGCAGAGGGGAATCCGGAGTTCCGAACTACGCCAACGATCGAAGATCAGGGACGCTCACGTCATGCGATTTTGCGATGACCGTTGGACCAGAGCGGTTACCGACTGGATCCCTCGGGACGTCAAACGAACACCTGGACGACCGCCGGCCCGATGGTCAGACTTCTTCACGAAAGCTCTGAACGAAAGGAATGAAGGACTTCGTGTCCCTCGAGCAAGGATCCACTGGACCACTCTTGCACGCGACAGGGACGAATGGAGACGTTGCTGGCGCCCGCTCGAGCAAATCGATGATCAACGGGACGACAGGTGACAGGTGGTCCCAGCCCAATCCATACCAACACTTTCGCATCCATGTGCTAGAGTCACACAAGTCTGATTCCGATCCATACCTTTGAAACGGAAATGACATTTTGCTAAATTCATTCAAATGCTCCCATCTGAAAATCAATTCATTTCATTTTTCATTATAGCCCTTAACACCGATGACATCAGATGAATTTCAGACATGGTGCGCGATTCGAGCCCTGCGAGGCATTCAGCAGATCGTGGAACCATCTTGACATTATATGAAACCACTTTTGTTGAGGGGGAGGATGACGCATTCCTCAAGGTGGGCACTAGAGGTGTAGCAGCAGCCGATGGGAGACTGCGGCGAGAAGCTGTGGGTCGTTCTGAGATGAATGCAACAAGTTTGACCGGCTTCCCAGGTTAAAAAATGATCCCCTCGGTCATTTTCCCTATCGTGCCAGAGAAGCATTTCGCAAAACGTACAGAGTCATCACAACAATACCAGCGAAATAAGTAAGCGTCAGACAAAAAAGAACTCACGAAGTAACACCGCACGCGCTCCTTATCCTTTACTTTCGATACTTTCGACGAAGCGAAGCCAGTTGGAGAACCATCGATCCACCCTAAAGCACCATCCCGCAAGCCTGTCAGTGCATACACATCACCACCTTTGGATCCTCCTTCACGTTGATAGACTCTTTGCACTAGCTCTGGAAATAAATGAAGAAATAACTCAGGCAGTTCATTGCCTGCTTGGATATTCACTTCCAACTTTGCTTTTCAATACAGATAATAAATATGTACTACCATATTGGCTGGGCACGCATTCGCGTGCACCACACAGGACAGCAGTGGTATGAAACAGGACCGCACCTTTCTACACTCCCTTCTGACAAATCCCGCCCACCTTAGTGCACTGCCCACCCATCAATAACATCGACCAGACCCGTTTCGCCAGCTTTATACACCTTTTTTCCGGTACAAGCAATTTTTGAACCGAAAAGAAAGTTAGGCGGCGAACTCCACCCACCTCTTTGCACGCTTCACCAAGCAACTCAAAGCGTTTGACCTCCCTTTCTTCGCCATCTCCGCCCACGTTTCTCCCTGTACTTGAGCAGCATGGAGCTGACTACAAGTTCGTTGGCAAACTACGTCCACTTTGATGCACGCCACACACACCATCAACTTTCATCTTTATTCCCGGCTCTAAGCTCTATCCACTTTTTTTCCCTGTTTCTGGGACCTAGCAACCGTGTTGTTATGTTTCCTTGCAGAGTCAACCCTGCGTTGCGCAGTTCTCAACGGCCACGTTGCGCAGTTTCGCCCGATTAGACACGTTCTCTCGCGCGAACATTCACACTCGCATGCTCGAGCCGTCTGCGTCTCCGCCCATACAGCGTGCGTTGAGGATCTCTCCTATTTTCTTTCCCACCTTTTCCTAATGATGGCAGCTAACATCCTCTTTCTCGCTGACCTCTAGCTTCCTTTTTGCGGCCATTGCGACTTCTTGAAACCAAATTATGAGGATCAT